GTTTTACGTTTACGCACATTCTATGGCACCGGAAGTGGACGCTCTGTTGCGAGTTTATGAGCGCTCTAAGGATGCCGATATAGAACGTGTCAATTGGGCACCGTTGCCAACACTACACAGTGGACCGGACAAAAATAATCCAAATCTACGGATTTATATGGTCGAAGTAATGTCCCTAAGCAGCTTGTCTGGATGCTGTTAATCGCCAAATTTGGAATTTATGACATGTTCCACTCCAAAAAAAAAAATTATCTTGCTGGGCTGAATCTGAGGTTGAACGGCAAAAAAGTGAAGCTCACAAGTGAATGGGTGTGTAATGGTGAGAAATCAAGGCTTACCTAGAATTACACGTACCCGTCAATAAACCACTGGATTGCTTGTCGCTGATCTCGATTGCTGAAACTGCTCCAGTATAAAAAACGCCAAAATGCAGATCGCACTACTGAGCACACTGCTTCGCAGAAAGAGCAAACGCAACTTGCCGTTGCTTCCAAGAAACCCGGAAGTTCTAAGTTGTTCCAGTCCAAAATAATAAAGTAAGGGATTGCTCTAAATGGCATATGTATGAGAAGACATTAGAATGCAGTCTGCGTTTCATCCCTTAGCTATAAACACAGGCTGGAATCTGTAAGGGGGTAAGAGCAGGAATCATCAGCACAGCCGCCTACCCACCATGTCCTGAACGGTCATGTGATTAATTTGCAAGACGGATGTGTGAGAGAAAGAGGAAACTGAGGAAGAACAGAGGGAGTGAGGAAAGAGAAACCAAGCCGCATTGTTTTGGCTACTGATCTCGTTAACGTACTCAAATCGATCAATCCCATAGAACTGTGGTGGTACCACTGCAACAAACCGAAATGAAGAACGTTGCTTAGAAGCGGTATCTTTGAATGGAACAAAGCAACGCGCAACATTTACTTTCATAAAAGCGTTCTGCAAGTTACACTGTGCTATGAATTAAACCTAGACATCCTGGTATTGCAGGTTATTAATTGGCATTCCAGATTGTTACAGCGATCAATGACTGTGTACTAAGAAGCCGTGGCCATACAAAATATCTGATTTCGACAGATCTCGATGAAATTGTTGTTGTGTACAAGGAAGCACCCCTACTCGAAGTACTCGATCAATTGTTCACAATGCCAAATAGAACTCCGGCATATTTGATTCAAAACACATTTGCGCGTTACGAGGTTAATTTTCGCCTGACAGACCTTTTGGTTGTTTATTTTTTCACAAATACCATTCACTAATACACGGTATCTGCTGGCTCTCAGCGATGAAAGCAACGTGTCCTGCTCATCTATTTGCCTGCTGGCAATGATATCTTGTGCGCCACTCATCAGAAGAAAGGGCCTATCACTGTAAAAAGCCTTTGCATTTATCATTAGTGATAAGCATAGCAGGATTTTGCTGCTTGACAAAGCATATTAGAGATGATGGAGTGCTTGCAAGAAATGCAAACTGATTAGCGTAGAACTCCGAAATATGTTCTCTATTTATGCATCTGTTCGATCCGTTACGCTGTGCTCAACTTCTTTTTTGAGCGCTTTCATTGTAGACAATTATAATAGCAGTTCTTTCCTGCACTTCTTCGGGCTCTGCTTTTTTTTGAACAGCTGGTAGCTGTCTGTAATTCTTATGGTCCTTTCCTAACTTTCATTTGAGTTGTTGGTTTTTTCAGGTTTCAAGCTGACCATGAAAGTTTGGATGAACAGACAAATTTAACTTTCAAATTTTGTAACTGTAACTTGGAACGCAAGCACAGACAGAGAAAATCGTGTTCAAAATTTTGCTGATTACGAAAAAGTGAAGGAAAAATGAGCCCATTCGTACTGACGCGCTTACCAGCTGTAACAAACTGTTACAGCACGGTGTTTTCCTTTGTTATGTACCATTACTTAAAATTTTTTGTAGAACAAATGGGCAAATGTTTCACATCCATCGGGCATTGATTTCAGTGATTTCTCAAGCATTTTACTAGAAAATTATG